CTCTCTCTCTCTCTCCCTCTCTCGCTACACAGCTTCTTTCTCCCCTCTCTCCCCTCTCTATCCCTCGAAGCAGGCGAACGCCAGCCAGTCCAGGCCCAGGTCTTCCATCCAGTACACCGACGGCCCAAGCGTCCCCTCCTCCCCTTTCTTGCTTTTCTAGAGAAGCAGTAGACTCTAGATTCAGGCAAGCAGTACACATCGGATGCTACAATCTCCCCACATGTGGAGAGAAGAAAAAAAAAAGAAGAAAAAAAAACTTTCGTAATTAAGTGACTGACTGTGCCGAACAATCCGCACGCCTTTCCTTCAGTCCTGCAGTGAGGGACTTGGTTCCCGAGACGCCTCCGCCCAGTCAAGATACGTCCTGGCTTGACGAAGTCATAACGTATATTCATAACGCAAGCAGCCCTGCTCGATCCCGGCAGTGCCAAAGCTGGTCGGAGCCAGCGCATCTTATCTTACTCCCAGACTTCCATGAAGGGTCCTGAATTTGCTTGGCTTGTGTGATTTTTTGTCATCTCCTCTGTAGCAATTTTGATCCTCTCATCCCTTTCCTGGAGGACCAGGTGACGGCCTACCGGGCCCTTGCTCCTCCGCCTTCCGCTTCGGAGCTCCGTGACTGACGCCCATGCTCGCCATTCGGTTATTCTCTGCTTCTTTCTTCTCCCTGCCGTGCTTCTCCGCCTCTCTCCGCTTCCACTGGTCCCGGATGCCCTTTGCAGCCGCAATCAGATCTTTCTCGGTGACTCGGTCGGTGATACTCTCGATCACACTGTTGACCGTACTGATATGGTTCGCGACATCCTTGTCGTCTCGGAAGCGCATATATCGCCATCTCTTCTGCGAGTCCATGAAGCATTCCACAATCCGGTCTTCCAAGGGCTCCTGAAGGCTTTTCAGTGACTCCCATTCGTCGTCGTCGAGGTACATGGTTCCCCAGTGCTGATCGTCGTCCCTATCTCCTTTGTAGACATAGAGATTGCATACTGGTACCGCATCGTAGTCGTAGTATGGCTTCGTGACGCCTTCCTCGATGTCCTGCGCATCTGGCTGTACTAGTGGGAAGTCAAGAGAGAGCCTGAAATCAATCGAGTTCTCCGATTCCGGTTTCCATTTCAAGATGTTCTGGTCTGTGCCGTGCTTGTAGTCTGTCATTCGGCATGTGAAGATCAGCCCGTCATTGCCGTGTGGTAGGTTGGGTAGAGTGTGTTGAAACATTTTCTCCATTGCGTAAGCAAATTCCATCGTCTTGAGCTCCATAATGAAGTGTTGATATTGCTTCTCATCGGGGTATTCCCTCATCATTTTGGTGTAGGGAGTAAAAATCCGCTCCTTAAAATACGCAAGCCTTTTGTCAAGTGTCCGGTTCATGAGGCTGTTATTATCCAGCACCATGCAGTCAAATACAAGATACTTGGGTTCCGTACCCCCTCCAGGTACTTTGTCGAAGACAAGCTCACCATCTATCAGCGTGTCCTTGTGAAATCTGGTAACGTCACCAGGGACCGGGAAGTGCAAGGCGCCTTTGGGTATCCACCAAAAGTTATTCTTCCGGTCGATGAGGTACTGGATCTCTTCCCCTAAGGTATCGATAGTGAGGTAAAGGAGGTATCGCATACCATCGGACTTTTCGCAAACATAGTAGCTGTGGTCCCGAGTCAATGATGATGGAAGCTTTGCTGATGATAGGCTGAACTTACTCTTGCTTGGTCAACTCCACCAAGTGCTTGCGAGCAAAACTTACTGGCTGAGCGCCTGGGAATCCATGTACCTTCTTTCCCAGAAGATCTGCTACTTCTCTGCGCATGCTTTGTAACAGTTCCCCCTCTGCCTTGAGCCCAGGCGCATCGAGTGAATTAACCGGACCCGTCATCTTGGTGGCTTCGAAGTAAAGGAGATAAGTTGGCTGTGAGTTTCCTATCGAGTAGGGAATTTGTTCGAGGTCTCCGGATCGAGACTAGGAAAGTTCCGTGTCCGCTCCTGAGGAAAAGATGTGTTATTCAAGACAAAGGATGTTAGTCGCGTTTGCCGAATTGCGCCGAGGAGCTGGGAGGTTGTTCAGCGATATCTTTAGGATCTGTTGGTCGGCAGACATGGGCGAAAATGTATTCAGATGAGACTGCAATTCGTGCAGCTTCAAGACCGTATGGCATGTATATGGATGTTGAGGCGCATGCTAGCAGTTCGAGGGCAAAGATACTTTGAGAAATGTGGAAGGAGTAAGCTCTGAGGCCATAATCACGTGTGAGTACCGATGTGGGGCTGATACCGGTACTTCAACGTCAACCTTCGCTGCTCAGTTCACTGCTTAATCTCCATTGTGCAGCATATCTTTTAGCAAAAATCGAACCATCGATGGCATACTCTGTATTCAACACCTCTCTTGATCTTGCTGCTTATCGTCGATCCATGCTTCAAATAATGAACTACGTTAATCTTGTTAATAATACTATCCTGTCCTGCCATGCCCTCTGCCCTGCCCATCCGTTCTAGGTCTTCTTTGCGTAAACGGCGATTCATTTTCCTTCAATCCATTCACAAGAAAGTCAGGTTTGGTAACGTAATCAGGCAGTATAGGATTAGTCTATCAGCCCTTTCTTTGTTAAAAGTCACTAACTGGATTGTGGCATAAGGGCTTCTCACTCCGAGTAGCGGCCTACAAAGAAACGCTGTAGCCCCCCGCGCGCAAAGGCTTAACAGTCAAAGGAAAAGGGGCGCCGCAATCTAGCTAGAATGAGGAAAATAGCTATCGAAGGTATTGATATTGGATCGATCATTTGGTGGCCAAATTGAAGCAATTGCGAACGAAAGGCCGCAGCGCAGAATGATGAAGTACCCATCGCTTCGTTCTATACTCTGCTAAGATCAAGAACATTGAAGGAAATGTTCGCTCAATCGGTACGATGAATGCCCATCACTTCACTGCTCCCACCTTAGTGATTTTCACATCATAGCACGGTGACCCGAAGATACTCTATGCTCGAATGTGATGCTAGTGTTTCCTCGGAAAATTGGCCATCAACCGACGAAGCATCTTGGTCCATTCGGACTCATCTAGACGGTTTTCTCGTACCTGTAAAACTTTGGGACGATACGAGAACTGCAATTGCTCCAGTCCTTTGCACGGTAGCATTCAACTATAAAAGCCCATATCATCGGTGTATGTGTTGGGGGCCTGCCGGTAGATATACGAGTGACTCTGCCATTGACTCCATCGACGAATATCCGATACTTTAATTGATCTCATGAGCATTGGAAAGCGTGCCTGCAGGTGTTCGAACCATACGTCTAATGCACGGGAGTAGAAGGCGGTCGAGGTGATCGATGTACAGAGTGCCCAGGTACTTCTTAGAGCAGAAAGGTGCACCGAGTTTCCTGAATCCGGGACCGGTTCTTCTGTATAGGAGGCCGAGTTAGTCTTTACCTTCAAGAGCATCTTCTCGGAAGTCCTAAGCGTAGTGCTGGAGCCTTGCTGTCGGCTCTACCCGGCGAAATTCCACTAACCCATACTTAAGTCACGATACCTCTACAACCTCCATCAAAAACAACACGCCAGCGCGAATGTAAGTAGCCTCAACTCCTTATATTCACAACAGCAACTAACTAAGATTCAGGATCTGAGTTTCAGGATCCGAGTTTCCGGCGCCCCATTCGACAGCGGAAGTCGTCCCGAGACTACGTCGGATAAAAAGTAAACCCCGTTTGGATCGGAGGTGTTTCTTCTCCCAGCTCATCCGAGCTGGGAGTTTCTTTTGACTTTTTTCCCCTTTTTTTTTCTTTTTTTTTGGGCCCCCCTCCAAGTTTTCTGTTCATAGATCGCAGCGTCTCGGACCAACCCTCTTGGCTGGTGAAGATGGCGGTGGCTGAACGCGTGCTGGCGTCTACTTCGATGAGCTTTACTTCTCTTCAGCTGTCGAGGATGTCCATCCGTACATCAGATCACGAGCAATGCTAGCCTGTTCAAATCGGGAGGGGATGATCAGCACTCCCCGCTGGATCTTCAGCCTCATCTCTATCGGAGGCTTGGGGAAGCAGGCGAGGGTATCGAGTGATTCCCGGTCTGAGACGAGTGGGTTGGGAATTGGGGAGGTTGGACCTAGGTAGTACAAGTGCCTCTGAATTTTCCGCAGCGAAATCGCGCGCTCCTTGATCTGCTCACACGCGATGCCAGTAATGAATGCTTTGTTTGATTGCACGCTTCCTTTTGGCCTATTTTGTAACTGAGACTTCGGTTTATTCGGAAAACAGTAACTCTGGTAACATTTAAAGCTTGGAAGTTGCAAAGACCTGATGGCCAGTACAGGTAGGCGAAAGTGGCAGCCAGCGGACAGCATGTCAAACATATCGAGCCATATGGTGGCACAATACAACCGATTTGCTACCGTCAAGCTATATAGTTGTCCGTTTGTTGTTGTTCCGTTTGTACTTCCAGTAGCCATGTGAGGAGCTACGATTCCACCTAGTTAAAAGGATGCAAAACCAACTGAACACATTCACACATTCACGTATTCAATTTGCATCACATACCCCGTGATCCCAACAGCCTACCTTGCGATATCTGAGTTCTGCCTTGATATGTTTGCGAAGATGGTATCGACCTGTAAATCAACGCCTCGATCGGATTTCCTAGGACTGCCAAATACGCCAAGTCTTGATAGCGAGCGAGTTTGAGTTTCGTACCTACCTTAACTACACATGTTACCCAAGAGGTCTCAGCTTGTTGATTTGATATATATTGATAAAGACCCCGAGGCACGCGTCTCCCTTGTCTGCCCGTACGAGTCTCAGCAGGTGCAAAGTGGCCAAGATGCATTCACTCACTTGGGCCTCTTACTTCTCTATGCCAGCTCCCCACAACAGGATCTCGATACGGATTTACACTGACAAGAGTTTTGCAATTCGTTCTTTACCTACTCATGTACGAGAGATTCCACTCTTGTCCACCCGGCACATGTGACCCGTGCTTCGCTCGAACCGACCCCATGCGGCTTCACCTAGGCTCTATTTCTACATTGGCAAAGGCAAGGCCGACCTTTACATATATATATATATATATATATATATTACTAACCTTCATGACAGCTTCAACACATCGCCGTAGCGGCAGTATCACAGCAACACTACCACGACAAACTGCAAGCCTGGAGACAACTCTGACAGAAGTAGGTCTCGCGGCTGGAAAACTTGGCCTGCTACGAGGAGTACAGCTGCTGTGGAGGGCAGCACTGCTGTCGAGCATATGGAGAGGTCATTGTTCGCTATGTCTTCCTTGGGGATCGATTGACAGACTCGATATCTATTGACAGAGAGGTCTGCGTCGCGTCTCCCAGGGACCCCGTCTTTTAGACGGAAACCATGTCAATCCCGAGGTAGATAAGATACCTATGCCCTCGATCGCAATTCTTTCATCTGAAATTCTGTATCCGGATTCTTTATTGTTTGTCTATCACTTCGGAGCTATATATTTACAGATCTGGCGGGTAGCGCTAAGAGAGGGAAGGAAAGCTGATGGTATCAAGGGACGCTCCAGCCTTGAATTATACTCTTGCTAGGTAGGGCTACATAGGATGCAAGCTTTCACGGCTTCACCTTCTTTAGTAGTTAAATACTCAAGATTCAGCCAATCTACTCTACATCATGCCCCTTTGTCGGTTTACTTACTTGCCATCAATGGCTTCTGGTGTATCACAACCTTCTATGCTCTGTCAGAGCATGTCCCCACGCTCCATCCTCATTTTGGTCCCAGGGAAATGAATGTCAACAAAGAGGCGGCAAGACTATAGCTACACGTTGTAAATATCTGCGCGGGAACTACAGCGCCGTGCAAACTCGGTCGGTGGTAGCAGCGACGCGATCGACAGCGCTACACACGCTTGCAAACAGCAACGCGCGACTCACCATTTTCCATCCCGTACCTACTCCTTCCAGGCAAAAGATGACCACAGTCCCACCAGAGCAGAGCAGAGCAGAAGATGAAACCCCCATCTTCAGCGCTCCAACATCCAACAAGGACGTGTCCTCTGAGCTCTACCGTCGTTGAACGCACGAATGGGTGGGTTGCCTCGAGCGTCGTGCACGCTGTACGGGGTCACTTTTCTATCCAGGGAAGGGCGGCGCCTCACTCTAATCCATCAGCAAGCCCGACGACGAGACGACGACTACCGGTATCGCCTACCGGTATCTCTTGCGGCCGGAGATGACCAGAACAAAGCCCCAAGATTCACACGAGGAGTAGGAGAAGGAGAGCAGTTGAGCTCGCGATTTCTGGCGCCTCAGAAACCCGCCAGTTCTGGGAAGCGTGGCCTGCAGGAGAGGGAAAGCTTCGCGGCGCGTGAGAGAGCCCGGGCGTGAGTTGGGAACAGGTTCCTGGCGCGCAGCCCTGTCGCTGCATCCACGACTGTGCCGTGAGGGGCCCATCTTGGATTTCCAAAAAAGAAAAAAAAAAAAAAAAAAAAAAGAAAAAGAAAAAGAAAGTAGTAGAGAAGTAAAACCTAACCGTAGGAGAGGAAGGAAATACC